TTGACGACGGGGAGAAGAAGAAGAATGCCGGCCGTGACAGCGCGGTGGACACCGGCAACAGTAATAATAATACACAGACCGAAGAGAGGTGTACTCACACCGCTGCCACCAGGCGACGTCCTGTCACGGCACACTACGCAGTTGTGGAGGGCGCACACCGTTTTCAGACCCTCTATACACTCATTATGAGCCTTCGTGAGGGACAGGGTCTCGTTGTGCATTTTGCCACCAAGGAGGCCTGCCAATTTATGTATAACGTTCTTTATGCATTAGGGGAACTGCCGAAATCGCTGCTGTTGTTGACGGACTATGAAGGACCCAGCACGTATGCCTCTGTGCAGGACAAGGATGAGGACCGAGAGCGTCTGTGTGCTCAATTTGACAAGATTATGTTGGATGCCGCGCGAAAAGATTTTTCCACCAAACGCGAAAAGAACCGTGTGGTGGTTCTTTCTGCTTTCGGCCTTGTACCGCAGACGGGCACCATTTTTGTTCAATACGACATCATGGTTGACGTTGTGAACTTTGCCCAGTTTGTCAGCGACGTTTTGACGCCCGCCGCTTACAATATTGCGGCTGCGGAACCAACGAAGCGGCGTCGCTCACGCACGCCGCCGCCACGCGGAGATCGAAAAGAGTCTCAAGAAGGGGATGTTGCGGCCGCTTCAAAGGCGACTCCCCCCAGCAAAGCGATGTACCATACGGTTTTGGTATTTTTACGCCGAAATGAACTGCAGCCCGCCTTGGTTTACCTTCGGCGCCCCGCAAAGCGACTAAATATCACCTTTGAGCAGCTACCGCAGCTTCCATCCGCCACACGTTTTCTGTTGTCGCTGCAGAAGATGCGCTCACTGAACAAGAAGCAATTTTCCGTGCAAAACGCCGCATACGCTGCGTACCGTGCGACCATGTTGCTTTATTCCCTCATAGGCCCCTCGGATGTCTACAATGAGCGGTCTGTTGACCTTGCGAAGGTCGCCGAGGAGTTTGGCTACACGGAGGTTCCCATTCTTGACCTCCGCACCCGCGACACGCCCTTCCGGCCGAAGGAAGACATTTTCCGTGCGGCCGCAGAGCGTGCGGTGGTGGAGCGTCGCAAAATGCGGGCGTACGTGAATGAACACATCGTGGGCGAGGCCCCAGAGGAGCACGTCGCCGACAACATGGCAGAGGCAGAGGAGTAACGCCGCACGTGCAAGAATAGGAGGAAAAACAAAAACAAAAAACAAGCCACTGTCGAGGAGGGCAAAACAAATCAACAAAAATCGAATGATGGGTGAATACGACAGAGGAGGAGGCAAAAAAAAAAAAAGAGAAAGAAAGAAAAGGATGTCAAGAGGAGGAGTGAGAAGAAAACAAAACCGCTAACACATCCATTTGACGCACTTGGGTCTCTCATATATGTCTTGCACTTAACAACACAAAAATACATTTAGGTGTAATTTTTTTTTTTTTTAAGTAGGAGTAATCATTACTAACTGAAAATACCGTTTAAATTTGGAATGAGAAATTAGAGTGGGAGGAGAAGAGTGTCGCTTCAATTGTGGCCGTTGTTTTGTAATTTGTTTGTGTGTCTTTTTCTCTGTCTTTGTATTTACTTACGAGGGACGGTCTTTTTGTTTGTTTGTTTGTTTGTTTTCTGACTGTCTTTTTTGCCCCCGACGTGAATGTTTCTCACACATATTCTGCGTCATGGGATATACGTGTAAGGTTTAAAAGCAAGTGAAATTTTTAACGATACGAAAATGCCGGTTGGGCGGAATATGGCAGTTGAGCACGACGATGATGTTGACATCTCCACGCCGTTTCATAAGTACTTCAACCCGAACTACTCCGCAGAGTTTATGAGCAAGCTTCCTGAACGCATCCAGCAACGTGCAAAGGTTCTTTTGCACTACCATGAAGAGTACGAAAAGCTTCGCAAGAATTTTGAGGAAAAGGAGACGGCACTGCGCCGCCAGTACGACGAGTTGTACGCGCCCCTCCACGATCACCGTAAGGAGATCATCACCGGCTCCAGAGAACCCACGGATGAGGAGGTCGCAAAGGGATTTCCCAGCGAACATGAGGGTCAAGTAGACATCAAGGTTACGGAGGCGGAAGCTGACAAGTCCGTCGTGGGTATTCCGGGATTTTGGCTTCGCGTACTGCGCGGTCATGTGCTCTCCGATTCCCTGATTGAAGAACACGATGAAGAAGTCCTCAATCATCTGAAAGACATACGATCGGGAGTGTTGGATGGTAGTTATGGCAGCTTTGCCGTTGTTTTTGTGTTTGGATCCAATGATTTCTTCCAGGAGGAGTCTCTTGTGTTGAGCGTCAAGCATAACGACGATGGCGTGAAGATCATTCGCACTCCGCCCACGTGGAAGCCGGGCAAGGACGTGACGGTAGAGACGGTCACAAAGAAGTTGGGTGGCAAGCGTGGCAAAGGCGCCAAGACGAAGACCTTCACTGTTCCACGGAATTCCTTTTTCAACGTGTTTAAAGAGATGTCGAAGGAAAAAGCCGAGGCAGGAGGTGACGATGACGAGGAAGATGACGACGACGATGAGGATGAGGAAGAACAGATTGAGCAACTCCTTAACGTTCTTCACACCAGCATTATCCCCTGCGCCGTGAACTTCTACACTGGCGAGGCTCCCGATGGCAGCAGCGACTTGGAGTCGGCCGACTTCGATGACGACGACGACGACGACGACGAGGAGGAGGAGGAGGAGGATGAGGAGGAAGAGGAGGAGGTGGTGGTGCACCCGAAAAGAGGTCCAAAGGGGCGTGGGGGTCGCGGAGGTAACAAACCGGCCAACGCACAGCAGGAATGCAAGCAGCAGTAACATTATTTTTTCTTTCTTCTTCCGTTCCACTTGCGGTTCTTCACTTCTGTGGGGGAAATTCTCTTCGTTGCCGTATGCGAGGCCGGGGAAAAGGGACCGCTCCACGTGCCGTCATCCCACACCACCAAACACTCCCCGCCGTTTTTAAACGTGCCGGCTGCCGGGGCGAAGGAGGCTATTGGCCCCGGAGAAGACTTGAAAAGAAGAAAAGGACGGATGGGAAGGGCGAAAAAATGGGGACAAACGTGCGCCAATTATTTAAAGGAAACAAATCAAAACTTTGCCCCGAAACTAAAACAACAAACGAGTGGGACGAAGGCCCGAGGAGGGAGGAGGAAGCAAGAAAGAAAAAAAAAAAGTGCGCATTTGAGAGGCGTAAGGGGCGAAAAGAAGCCAACATAAAATCAATTGACAAGGATTTTTAAAAAATAATAATAATAATTTACAGTAGGCGTACCGACAATAAATGTGTACACGCGTGCCTATTTGATGATAACCGTGGGAACACCAGCAAGAAAAAGAAAATGTATTGGCAGGCAAAACAACAAGCAGACGGAGACGCACATAACACACATATTACTACGACTTGGCTATCAGCGGATTTGTTTGTGTGGAAAAACATTGGGAAGTGGAGGCAAACAGTACCAAAGAAAAAAAAAAAGAAATGGGGAAGGAAAAAATAATAATAATGAAAAGGGAGGGGAAATACAAAGACAAAACGACATGAGAAGACACGAATAATATCCATATCTATCTAACCGAATATAGATGAGAAGAATAACGAGTCAAATGGACAGTCATTGTTAATACTCTCTTTTTTTTTTTTTTATTATTGTTTTTTTCTTTTCTTTTTCTATCTTCTATGATGCTTCTGTTTGTTATGCATGAAGCTTGGTGAGATTGTGTGTTTCTGGTGGGCTCTTTTGTGGTTGTTGTTGTTTTTTGCCTACTCACTCTCTTCATGTCGCCAGTTTATTTTCAGCTACCACCTGAGCATAAGTGCGCATATACATGCATATATATATATATATATATACTAAGGTATTCATAGTTATTGATCTGCCGACTGCTTTCGGTGCTTTCACGACCACATCAACGATTGTTGGTCAGCTGTTAGCGGGCTGACGACTTTGTCGGTGCATTTTCTTTTTTTTTTTTTTTTTTTTTTATTATATCCTTGTGTATTCTCTGTGTTTGTTTGCAACATCCACTCAATCCCTTGGAAAAAAAAAAGCCCTTTCTATCCTTTGCGGGGGGAGGGAGGGAGGAAATTATAGAATAGGGTAAAAGCTGGACTATCTTCTCCAATTACACCAGCAGAAACGCGACCACCACCGGGGTTGGTTTCTTCTACGGTGAGGAGCAATGCCATTGAGTGGGGAGGATCAGACACTCTCTGCACGCCTCCTCACCCTGCCGGCTACGGAGCACGCCATCCTTCTTAACCGCTTTAAGTTTTTGGATCTTGTCCAGCGTGTGGCTGCGGCGGATGTAGCGGAGATGGTGCAGACAATCGGTTTAGAGGCGCTCTCATACAAGGGAGCACTGGAGAAGATTCCACCAACATTTGCAGTTGCGGCGGATGCAACGAAGCCAGCTTTTGCGGAAAAACCCACGCGCCGTGGTAAGTTGTCACCCCCGCGCAAAGGTGCTCGGGCCGCAAATGTCCCTACGGAGACCCCTCCCCGACGACATCGTTTTCAAACACGTGAAAAAGAATTACAATTTATTAACCGAATGTCACAGCCACAAAAGGATCGCGCCCTACCTGAATTTTATCTCCGCAAGCCCCCACGCGACCAGCAGGAAGAAAGGCTCATGTATGCGCGCATGGATTCGTCATATTCGCCTCTTCTTGAGGCGTACAATGCGACAGCTGCCACTCCACCTATTCACTTGAAAAAGAATAAGCGGCGTCATGAGCAAAGTGACAACGACGATGACGACGACAACAATGATGATGATGATAATGTGGTTATTAGCTCGAGCGGCGACAGGCTGGTTTCTGGTGGAGAGCCGCCAAAGGTACGGCTTGTTGCCCAGACGCCCACTCGTGGCGGCCGGCCTCCCCCACAGCCATCTCCGCATCGACTTGTAGAGCGACCTCCCAAGGAACCGAAACATTCGGATACGTACCCCGAGGTGAAAAAGAGAACGAGTACATCCGGGGCCGAAGGAGTCTCCGTGGCAGGAGAACGAGAGGGACCATTCCACGTTAATGCAACGAAAAACGCTCCGACTCAGTACGAAGAAGCACCTCAAGCGAAACAAAAACAACAACCGCTACACTCAGATGCCTGGCAGAACCCACACATGGAGGTGATGACGCCGCGGACGATACAGAACCTTGCCATGCGGCATCGTGGTCATTTTGCGCCAAAAGCAAAACCGAAAGCCGCAGCGGAAGTACCTCGGGTTCCGATGGAAGTAATACGTCATGCCTCCGCATTGTTGACAGGTAGAAGCGTGGCATCATCACCTTATCCATCCGGGCCACAGGACCCACAACAACCGGCAGTAATTCCCACACACAGTGTATCTTGGGATGCGCAGAGTCCTCAATTTCCTTCAGCCACGTCGCAATTCCAACCACCAAATTCTTCCGTGCATCGTGGGAACAGAAAAGGTGACTCAGACAGTCAGCTTGGGCAAACAACACCTTGGACAACATCAATAACTCTCTCCGACGAAGTCCTTGCAGAACTTACTTTTACTGTGGATAGCATGCTAAGAGATCATCGAGCTGTGCTGGATAGCATTATGAAGGATAGAGAAGATCCGCTTCCCCAAGTTCAGGAACTCAGTAAAGACACGGGGAAAGAAGTGCATGGAGTTTCTGTCGATAATTCGGGGGGTAATGTGAGCGGAATCACTCAAAAGGTAAGAGGAAAACGTGCAAAATTAGATATTACTCCTGATGACGAAGAGTCTGCCCGCATATTGCAGCAAGCCCATGACGCCTTAGAGGATATTAGTGATGATGAGGATGAATTGCTGTTGGTAAGTCGTCTCCAGCGGCAATTGGGTGCGATGGATCGGGAGCTGGAAGCCATTGAGCAGCGTGATAAACAACAACAACAACAATATGGATCGATCAAGGGGGAGAAAGAGGATCTTGAGGATGGGGATGACGATGAACAGTTGATACACCGGAAGGAATCGCCCAAAGGAGACCGCCGTCATGTGAGAATTGATGATTCCAAGAAAACAGTCTCCGGGGGCGATTTTAATTTTGGTCGCGGGAATTGTCGTCGTCGTCGTCGTGGTGAAATGCCGCGTGCCATTGTGGAGCGTCTGCGGTCATCTCAGAAGGAGCACCAAGAGTACATTCGGTACACAGAGAAGCAATGGAATAGTTCCCACGTGACGGAACAAGTGTTTGCACAGCGACTCACCGAAACACTCGTTGAAGATGCGTTTCAAGAAGTGCTTCAAGAAGTTGGAAGCATCCTTGACACATACGTTGAGGGCCTGGTGCTGCATGAATTGCAGTAGTTCCCCGTCTTGCCCCGGTAATTATAGACGTATTTGTTTTCCTTTTTGTATGTGCCCTTGTATAATTTTACTTCGCCTGCACACGAAGAGAATGGAGAAGAGAAGTGGTTTCTGTCACCCTGCTTTCTTATCAACCATGAGTTGTTGTGTGCTCTTCTTCCTGTTTCTTTCTGTGCATCCAGCAGACAGTTTATTTTCCTTTTTTTTTTTGTTGTTGTTGTTTTTGAGGTATCATTTACCTTTTGCTTTTTCCATTCACTTTCTTTAGGTTTCTATTATTCCCCTTTGAAGCGCAAACTCTCACACACGCCCACACACACACACGCACAAATTCAGGGTGTCAAGACGGAACAAAGAAAACAACAACGGGACACCAGGAATAATACGGGAAGAAGACGTCACATTTTGTTTGGTGGATAATTTCCATCCAAAAAGAGATAAATTGAAGTTTTCAGCGGCGTGAGTCCGTTTATTAACGCTCTTCCTCCTCAGACTTGTTTTTTTTTTTTTTTTTTTTTTTTTTAGTTTGTCCGAATCGTGGAACCCGTGGCATCTTGTTCAATGGCCGAGGTGCAAAGAGAACATGAGTTTACGCGGACCGCAGACGCAGTGAATAAATTTATCATATCCACAACGCAGTTTTTGAACCGGTTTGCAGCTCAGTGCGACAGTCAACTCATTGAGATTTGTCGTTCGCTTCAACGTCTGGAGATTCTCACAGTGCTGCTAGAAAACAAACTAAAAAGTATAGATGATGACTTTGGCGAAGTGAATGCGGCGACACCGTCAATATCGGCGGCTGCCTTCCCCCAATCGGCGTCCATCGGGGTCGGCGGTTCAACTCCATTAGCCATCGTGGATCGTGAGGTCCCACCACCCATGCCGGGTCTTTTGTCGGCATCTGGTGGTCATCACCATCCACCACCACCACCACCGCCACCGCACCTGCAGCGACGCAACGGGCCTCCGCCACCACCCGGGGTAGCAATTCAAACCCGTGTAAATGGGAGCGCGGTTGTACCGATTCAACCGCCGCTTCCTGTTCCCCCGATGCCACCTTCTTCTTCATTAGGCCAACTGCCGGTAGGATCTTTGCCTCCACCGCCTCCTCCAATGCCTCTTTTGGGGGGCTTTACAATGTGCACACACCCTCGGTTACAAGGGTACTTTCAAATGCTGGCGTTGCGTGTTCCGGTTGAGGCGGTGAAAGCCAAAATGCAGATGGACGGGCACCAGCCAGAGTGGCTGGACACTCCAGATGCTGCAGCACCAACCACGATACCCGTCACGAACAAGACACCGTACGACTCGGATTGATTCAGAGATATTTGCAAATTGAATAACTTAATTTGATGGGGAGTGTCGACCATCACGAAAGTTGTATCGTATTGGTGGAATCGAAGAAAAACAAATACAAAAAAAAAAAAAAAAGATAATAATAATAATTGATTTCTTTCTCCGGAGAAAAATGGTAACTGAATAATTTTTAAGCCTGACGTCATGTGAATGGCACTCTATTTTCTTCTTTTTGTTGTTTTTCTTTCATGTGCGTTCTTAGAGCTCACAGAGGGACAATAGGTGTGGGTTTGGGAGGCGGTAGAATCTGCGGTTGTACGTGCTAGCCCCTTTGTAAAACAGGAAAGAAGAAAAAGAAGAAGAGCTATTGTCGTTTTCATTGTGAAAAAGATGCCGAGAGGAAGTGGATTTGTGCATCCCAACACTCCAGCTACGATTTCATATTCACCCGGAGAGCAAATCTCCCTTTCCGAGCTGCGCCGCGCATGTCGACGAGAGGAATGTGTTGTGCTGCCCCACACAGTCGGGATTTGGCGGGCGGCGTTTCGAAGTTACGTGAGAGCGGAGGGTTTGTCCCAGTTTGTGGGAGACATTGAGGCGGAGAGGGAGGGTGAGGGGCCAATTCTTCCGCCTTTGAGAGCGCCTTTCTCATCAACTACGCCAAAGCGGGCGGCTCCACAAGAGCGAGTACCCCAGCAAAGGGCAATTGCGCACGACAAGGTAGAAAAGGATAATTTGGGCGTCTCGTCTGGGAAAGGCATCGTGATTGTGTCACGTCACAAAATTAGTGGTGAGCAGCGCTTTGTGTACCCTGATCACGACGGTGTGCTCTCTTCTGGTGTCGTGCCGCAGGTTGTCATATCCGAAGAAGAAAAGGCCGAGCTTGAAGCGGATAAGAAACACTATGTTTCGCCTATGGAGTTGCCAGATGAGGAACGTGCGGCACTGGAGGAGTTGCAGAGTTTGTGGAGGAGCCGCGCTAACAGTCGTAGCGAACAGGGAGCGAGACACCGTGCGGCTGGCGGCACCGCTATGCCTGGCTTGAATACGCCTGAGGAAGCGGATGGGCATGAGAATGACAGGTATGCAAAGCGCTCTCGCTTGGAGTCACGGACTCACGAAACCCATGCAACAACGGACTCGGAGTACAACACAGGTGACATGCTGGACGACGCTTTGCGCCTGGCCGGGGAAATATTGAACTTCAGCTAGCCTCGTTCTCGGCATGAGCAACAAGTGAATGGGACAATCTTTTCCTTCTTTGTTGCCCCTATGAGTTTATTGTTTTTGTTTTTGTGTGTGTGTCTATGCGTATGACTGTTCTCTGCTGCCATTTCAGCATCCACCTCTTCTGGTTTTGTTTGTATTCCTTCTTATTGAAGCCGCAAGAACAACAAATTTGAGGGCAAATAACACAACACACAACAAACGTGTTGGGAAACACCCGCACAATTTAAGAAATTCCCCTTTTTTTTGTTTCTTTCTCTCTCTCTCTCTCTCTCTGTGCGTGGAGTTCGGTGGTGTTGTACTCTGAAGGCCACTGAGAGGGTTGTGTCGCGCCGTTAACTTGAAAACAAGAGAAAAGAAAAGGGATTATTTTTTTTTTTTTTTTTTTTTTTTGTACCGCTGCCCTTTGGATATGTATCGGCGTCTCACAGCACTCTGCCCCGTGTATAGATTAAGTGGGGTTTGCGGGAATGCCGTCCGCAAATGCAGTTCACAGACAGTGGAGGGCGCTTTGGGCTCTAAAGTTGGAGAAAAGGCAGGCGTGAAATCCACAGCCGCGTTTACACCAACTGGACCGAAAAGAAAGGATTGGCGCACACACAAGGAGGTCGTTTACGTCAAGGGAATTCCAATGAAGGGCAGCATATTTAAACTTCCAATAAAGGAGCAAATTCTCATCTGCGTCATATTTTCCATCACCGGGGCAGCGGCAGTCATGTTTGTGCGGCCTGTTATTCGTTCTCTTGTGAAGGACGGATTTCTGGGGCTACCAGAAGATAGTGGATGGGTGAAAGGCCCATGGCTTTACCGTTTTTTATACATCGCCATCATGTACCCTGCCTACTCGCTGTTGCTCTTTATTATCGGATCCATTTTTGGTCGTCGTGTCTGGTTCTCGTTTATGATTCATAAAATGTGGTCTCGTTTCCTGACGAAGAATGCGGCAAGGCGCCTTGAGTACTTTTTGGATTTGCAACACTATTGAAATTGCTACGGAACAAAATGGCGAGAAAAAAGTGGCAATTGTGCGTTGCGTGCGTACATGTATGTGGCTACGTCTTGTGGCGTGCGGCTGGTGATGTTATTGTTGCACTTTTTTTGACGCGATTTTTGATTTATTGTTAATTTTGAGTGGATCCATCTTTTTTATTATTTATTTGTTGTTGTTGTTGTTGGGAAGAAGGGGGATAAGCTTCCTTTTTTATTATTTATTTGTGCATTTTAGATTTGTGGGACCGCTTGTGTGTTTTGCGAGGATAACGCGACCTCTGGCCTTCCTCACAGAACTCGGCTATCGTGCGGAACACAGGCATACACGCGGGCTAGAAGAAAGTAACCGACAAAAAGGGGAGTAAACACAACCAAAAGCAAAAGAAAAGTGTGAGAAAAACACGTAGAAGGAAGTGAGAATGAGTGAACTGCAGGCTGCAGCAGGTGTCTTTGGCCGTGGCACTGCCGCTGGCGACGCCATCTACCGCTGCTACGCGAGACCCACGAAAGAAAGCACACTTGACCCAGAGCTGCTTGCAAGGCTGCAAAAGATGCGGTTGGAACGGGAGGCGGCGGAGGCGGCGCTGTTCCGCCCGAAGCCGGTGCCAAAGTCCAAAGCGATGATTAGTCGCCCCCGTGTGGGTTTGGGCCGTCGCATTTCGGAGGAGGAAATTGCGAGGAGACGCCTTGATGCGCTTCCTCACAAGAAGAGGGAGGAAAGCATTCAACGGGAGCTGCGGGCTTTTGGTCGGCCGTCTCTCCTGCCACCGTTGTATAAGTCTCCCCCCATCACCGTGGCGGAAAAAGAACGTCTTCGGCAGATATTTCAATTTGGAGAGCTGCCACCCAAGCCGTTGAACTTCACTGGGGCCAATCGGGTGCGGTACGCCTTGATAGACCGACGCTTCCGACTCAAGGACCGGTTCGAGACGCTGAAAAAGCACGTTGACGCTTTGCGCGAGGAGCTCCGCCAACTACGACAGCAGCCACAGAAATCTGCGCTGCCTGAAACAGTGGCCGATGGAAAGGGCAATGAAAACGAGATCATTCCTTCGGGGGCGGAGATTATACGACGGTTCCACAGGCGTGACCCCGTCATGGCGCTGGAGCGGCGGATGTTGGAGCAGGAATTGACGACCTCCATTGGAGAAGTCCTGCAAGAGATGAAAGAAATAGATTTTGACCTTCGTCAGTTGGACGAGAATGAGGCAAAACGATACATCCCGAAGCCGTAACGCCCGGCACAAAAAAAAAAGAGGAGCTTGTTAATACAACGAGCCTCAGCACGTTTAGGAAAGGGTGCTGATCGTAACCTTGAGCAACGACGCGAAGGAAGGTGAACGAAAAAAAAAAAGGAATTGAGAAACAAAAGGGAAATGAAGAAAGAACCGAAGTTCATTTCTTTTTCTTGTATTTGCTTTAATGAGCATGCGCCTTCAAGTGTTGTTGTGTTTGTGAATCTTTTTTTTTCCCCTGGTAAATGACTTGCGTGGAACAATACGAAGATCCTCGTTTTTGTTTTTTTTTTTTTCTTTCTTTTTTCTTGCTAATTGCATACACAAAAAAGGGGGAAAGAGGGGGTCGCCTTTTAAGACGCCAGCACCGAAGAGAGAAGGAAACGGGGGGCGGGTGAAGGGGCGGCGCTGCACGCCGCCGTTAGATTAGAACTTTTCTCTCCCCTCGCTCCTCTCCCCCACCCATAATTTTTTGTCGGCACCCGCTTAGTGTACAGGATGCTGTCCAATTCCCTCAATGACGCTCACATTGCCGAAGCTGGCAGTGACGACAGTTTCGGTATACGGCCGCCACTACTCCTGGGGGATCCGCAACAGATGAACCCGCCTTCGTCTTCCTCACACGTGGCCTTCACGTTATCCAACTCCCTTGTGCAGTTTCTTTCACCGCTGCAGTTGCAAGGGTTTGCATCACGGATTATTGAAACATGTGGTCTGCGCCACATGGATGAACTTGCCGCTCGGGTAACATGTGAAGACGACGTGGATGCGCTTCTTGGGTCACATGCTTCTCTGCAACAGCGCCGTGAGTTGTGGAAGGGAGTCTGCAAGTGGAAGCGAACAGCCAATAAGCGAGGGCGAGAATGGACGAAAAAGTCCGATAAAAAGAAGGCGGTGTTGGATGGCAACTCTCGTGACGCGGATGTCATGTCGGAAAAAATGCATCGTTCTACGACAAGGTATTTCATTGATTTGGAGAAGTGCACACCATCTCAGTTTATACGCCAATTTGCTTTTGACGGCTATAAAGAAGCTGAAACGTGTTTGGCAAAGCAACAGCCGGCGGAAATATGCATCAGCAACGCTATTGGAACTGCGACAGAAGGTGCTGACAATTGCAGTGCACCAGGGACGGTCATCTCATCTCCGGGCGCTCCTTCCCGTTCCCTCTCGCGGACTTCTTCAGTGAGTACGTTGGAAGACGCTTACCTTCTTCCAGAGAAGCGGTATCGTCGCGAGAAGTTGCCCGTATCGACTCTCTCCATGGGCCCTGGAACGGGAACTGCAGGGGGAGACGAATTTTTACGGGAATGGGGTCTTCACGGCGATGATGCGGAACCGAAACGGGATTCGGCTCACTCTTCGGTGCTCTCGGAAGCGGAGGGCGTTGTTCAGATACGGGAGCTAATCGAGGAGTGTTGTGCAGAGCATGAGGCAATGCGAGTGGCGATGTGTGGGGCACTGAGCAGTGCTGTCGCCACCTACAATGAAGGACTGAGGGCGCTGCAGGAAAAACTTCGCCGTGTGCTTGCAGTAAAAAGTAAAAAGAGGAGGAGTGGCCCGGTTGGTAGTGACGTTTCCGCGACTTTGGAAAGGGCGGCAAGGCTTGTCTCCGAACCTCCACTGCGCGTCGAGATGCACCCCGCGGAATCCCAGTGGGGAGAGATTGTGTCGTTTCATACTCATGTGAAGAAACGCTCTTTAGAAAGGATCGAACATGTGAACAAGAGGCGTCACTGTACCCGAGATGATGGCGGTGGTGGTGGTGAAAGTCTGGAGTTTTGCGCAGTTTCAACGAGTGTCGAGCCGAATACCGATAACATGCGCCCATCCTCGCCGGTAAACGCAATCATCGTCTCTTCCCCCTCTGGTAACATGAACGAGGACGCGATGCCTAGCCTCAGCGACTTTACCTCACCAAGCAGGGGAAGTTACCGGCACACCGAGGCGCTGGCTCGAGAAGAATACACAAGACAGCACGGCATAGCTTTGCAGAACCCTCCCGACGGGATGCCAAGGCCCACCAACAATGATAAATCTCAAGCCTTTCCCGCCGTACTCCAGCTGGAGGAGGAAATTAAGGGGTCTTTTCATGCCAATGGGTGGGATGAAGGCGTTGCTGACGTTACCACCGAATGTGAAGAAGGTACTGGTGCTGAAGAGTTATTAATAGCATGTCCATCGGCAGTGGCATTTACACGCTCGGCGTGTGGAAATGTTAATGCAGGTGTTACATCTCAGGACCTTGTTGAACCGTGTGGTGCATTTTCACTTGATGATTTTGGTTTACAGGCCGTCTCCAAGGAAGTGAATTACTCCGCTCTCGGAGACGCTGAGAAGCCTGTGTTTATAGGTGAGGTTTTGCATGGCGCCAGCAACCTAAATTCCGTGGCGGTTGAAAGCCAGGTAATTGATGTGGACGCACTATCTTCCTTGGAAAGTTTTACGAAAGAAAGGGAGCGTTCATCACGGACGCATCAGAATAATGATTATGCTATTTCTGTTGATGACGGCAGTGAAGAAATGTCTACACACAGCAGTCCCATGGCGTTAAAAGGTGGTTTGTCTGCAGGGGAACATGTTTGGATGTGTTCACAGTTGCCCCGAGAGCGTCAGAGGGCCGTGTCACGAAGTTCCTCTTTGTCCACTTTCCAAGAGTCGGGGAATGATTACATGGATTCCCTTTCCATTTCTGTGAGCAACCGTGCTAAAGGCCTGAATTGGACAACAACCAGCAGCATGGCCGCTGATATGCAGAACCTACTTTCAAAATCCCATCAGAATGAAGAGAAAAAGGTTCAATTGCAGAACGATGCAATTAATGCGGATGAGGAACATACGGTAATGATAACGGCGACGAGGGCCCCTTCACCTCATTGTTTGTTGGGTCCTCAAGGATTACCGCCATTGCCGTCAAGGAACTTGATGAATAAAACTCCGCTGAATGCTCAAGAGCCTATGGAGGAGACAATAGAAGAACTGACAAGTGAACGAGTCATGAAGATGAGCTATGACGTGTTACGCCAATGGTGCCTGCGTCTTGGGCTGCGTATTGTCTGCGATGAGGCGCACTCCAAGGATGCGGAGGAGCAGGAATTCTGTAACGTCACGGACATGGATGTACCTGGGAAGGAGGATAGCCGTGATATTGCCTTAACACAGGGAGAAAATAGTAGCGGCTGGTGGTTAATGGACAGCAGTGTGGACATTAACGAGGATGATCAAAAAACATTAGACGGAAGTTGCTCTTCACATTCGCCACAGCGGCATCCTATGAACGAAGGAAATTGCACAAGAACCCCGCCAACATTTGCACTAGGAGTGGATACTGATGAATTGGAATGGAGGGATCTTCAACGCGCGGCAGTGACTGAGCAAATGCAAGAGGCACTGCGGCTTTTTATTACTCGTCGAAAATTTATGTTGAAGGTTGTCCCATTCTTTTTTCACCGTCTGCCGAGGTTTTCTGGTGGAGATCCCTACAGGCCAGTGCGAGCAGCGGAATTGGTGAAGACTCAAATTGCGTTGACTCGTCAGGAGCTTGAAGAGCAGCGTCGATTGGCAAAGAAGAAAGAGGCTGAAGAGGTGGTCTGCTGTATAATCACCAGTCTTGCAGCCGATGCAGCGGAAAGTATAGAACGGCAGGCATTTTTACCAGTGAAAGAAAAAAATATTTTCACTGGTGAAGGCACGAAAAATTTGCCTACTTCTACACCCATTTATTCTTCACAGACGACATGCAATGCCGCATATGCAGAGCTCCCTGTGTATGACCAACTGCTGCTGATGGAGCCCACGGATGTTCAGACGGCAGCGACCGTCGTCCACGCCGACTTCCCGCATGTATCGAAGCATCGCGTGGAGACTCTTCTTGAGGAAAGTGGAATCCCAATCAAAGTCTCACGTCATGTATGCAACAGCCAAGAAGTTGGCGGTGGAGAGTTGAATGCGACGCAGCGCTCGGCATCATCGTGTTCGCCCCCGCCAAGCTCACCGACGTGTACGACACAAAAAGGGCAGACAGCGAGTACTCAATACAGTAAAAGACGCTTTTTTGCACAACGCGGTTGGGCTCAGCAAAGGAGGAACCGGTAAGAATGCCGGAACAGGGTGTTTGGGAAATACACGCACACACGCCTCGTGTGGCTGGGTTCGAAAAAGGAATATGCATATAGCTTGGCCCTACACACTTGTACTTTCCCTCCTATTTGTGACTAATCGATTTTTTTTTTTTTCTAAATGTTGTTGGTTTTTTCCCCTATGATTTATTTGTTTCTACTCAGGTGTAATTTATTTGTTTATTTAAAAAATAATAATAATAATAATAAGCAAAAGAAGACCCAATTATGGCTGCGCGTACAGATGATCCTCGTTTGTTGAGCCTGTTCTCCGCGCAGCGCGAGGAGGATGCAGAAATTGTTATTATTGGATTTCCCTACGATGAGGGATGTGTGCGCAACGGAGGACGTGCTGGTGCCAAAAAAGGGCCCGCTGCATTTCGATTTTTTCTGCAAAGGTTGGGGTCCGTAAATAACTTAGAACTTAATGTTGATGCTAGCCATTTGAAGTTATATGATGCTGGGGACATCACGGCCAGTACGTTGGAGGAGGCCCATGAAAAGTTGGAAAGCAAAGTTTTCACGGTGCTTGCCCGTGGGGCATTTCCTTTTGTGATTGGCGGGGGAAACGACCAGTCGGCCCCAAATGGACGTGCCATGTTGCGAGCATTTCCTGGAGACGTGGGTGTTATTAATGTTGATTCTCATTTGGATGTTCGCCCACCTCTGCAGGATGGAAGGGTTCACAGCGGGACCCCGTTTCGTCAATTGCTGGAAGAGAGTTCCTTCTCCGGAAAGCGATTTGTGGAGTTTGCCTGCCAAGGGTCGCAGTGTGGTGCGTTGCACGCACAGTATGTGAGGGATCACCAGGGCCATTTAATGTGGCTGAGCGAAGTGCATAAGAAGGGTGCTGTGGCAGCGTTGGAGGATGCCTTTGGATTGACCGGCAAAAACACCTTTTTTTCTTTTGATGTGGACTCCCTGAATTCAAGCGATATGCCTGGTGTGAGCTGTCCGGCTGCTGTTGGTTTGAGCGCACAGGAGGCGTTTGACATGTGTTTTCTGGCTGGCAAAACACCGACCGTGATGATGATGGACATGAGTGAGTTGAATCCCCTCGTGGAAGAATATCGGTCGCCGCGCGTCGCCGTGTACATGTTTTACCACTTTGTTCTGGGGTTCGCCACACGGCCGAAGCCGAAAGCGGAAAATTGAACTATAATATATATATTTATATATATATGTATATAAGAGGAGGGAGTTGTTGTTGTTTCTTTGTTTGTTTTATTTTCATCGTTATTTTTTGTCTCATTTTGTGTTGTATGCAACGAGGTCTGCCAGAAGAATTCGTGAGGGGATTAAAGCGAGAGAGAAAATGTACACACAAGAGAGAAAAAAGAAAGAAAAAAAAAAAGGGAACGAGACAAGAGTCGCGGCTGCGTTACGAATTGTTGTGGAACTTTTTTCTCACTTTTTTTTCTTTTACATTTATGCCCTGTTTGGCTCTTCGTGTGCCCTTTTTTTCCCTTCTCCGCCTCTCGCCGCCTTGTGTGAGTTACGAAGAAAAAGACTGTCGTGCGGTGAGCCCTCTTTTTTTATATTGATTTTATTTTTTTGTGTGTTGTTTTTTTGGTGGGGGAGAGGGGAAGGGCGTGTGGGTTGTGTTTGTTTTCCCCTTCATTCCGCGGGGCGATCTGCACGTGGGTTACCACGAAACACAAGCAGGAGGCCACGAAAAATATTTTGCGTGGGCCCGTGCGAGCGAATTGGGCCGCGTCATTCATTTCTTTGTTTTTTGACCAATTCCTGTGCTTCCTTCTCTTTGTGCATGTGTGCGGCGTGCGGGAAGCGAAGGGGAGGGAAAAAGAACTTCAATCATTTGAATCCGAAGGTAGAAGGAATAACAGAGCGGCCGCAACAGACAAAACTGCACTTTGGAAAGGAGAAAAGGGAAAATCCATGTTGAGTCCGACAACAGCAACGTCGGGCTATTTGGTGCCGCACTCGGCGTTTAACAGCACGTTTGAAAATGTCATGTTCCCCGTGCGCACTCTATACTGCCCACCGGTGCCACCGTCCATGTTAATGGGACGTTACAAACCACCGCCGCGGCCCGGGAGAAAATACCGCAACGATCTGTCGCTCGCAGGTCCACGGGATCATTGGGCGCAGACTCAAGTGGCACGCATTTGGCGCGGCGTCCTCACCCGCCGACGTCTGCGCAACGAGCGTAATCACTTTGAGGTGCGCACTTGGCGTGCCATTATGATTCAATGCTGGTGGCGGCGTCTTCGCGCCATCTGGCGGCGTCGGTTCTTGCGGGGACTGGTGGATGAGTGGATTGTGAGTCGTCGTGAGTCACTGTTGGCGGAGCGACTGAGGGGCTACGGGGTTATGCTCTCATGGCAACGCAGGCGATTTGAGAACGCGGTAATAAAATTGCAGCGCGTATTCCGCTGGTATCTCAGTCAACGAACGAATTTTTTTGCGGACGCCACGCAGCCCCCACGTGAGAAGTTGCCGTTTCCACTTCGAATTCAAAAGAAGGTTTACTTTCCCTGGCGAAGGAGAGAGGAGGCGAAGGACGGGCCAATAAAAGCAGCAGGCGGCAATCTCGGGCCACAAAAAAAAGAACGCTCCACTTCCATTCAGTTCCGAAAGTCTCGAAGGGAGCCGCAGCCAACAAGTGTGGAGGAGGCAAAGGTGATCAATGACGCCATGCGGGAGCGCGAGGCGCGGAATGCACTAATTCTTTCCCAGCCCGAGGTCCAAGACCGCATGCAGTGGAAACGTGATGGCCTCCTCTTGAATGACTTTGATCACAACGCGGGGATGATTCAGCGGTTCGTGAGGGGTAAGTGGAATGTGTGGGAAAAAGTGACGCGAAAGGTGACATCAGACTATTTCAACGATAAGGTGTGCATCATTCAACGCTCATTCCGTGTCTTTAAAACTCTTCGACACATCACTCGGGTGCAAATATCTGTGGAAAATCGTGCGGTGCGGAGGAATCAGGCCTACGCGAAGGAAAAGTTGGCGCGTATGGAAGAAGAAATTGCATGGCAGTACAATCTGCTCAACAACGCGGCACGGACTATACAAATGTTGTGGGCGTACTACAAGCACAAAAGCCGGCAGACCGACCCGTTCAGGGAGGCTGGGGACACCGCCGCCGCCGCACAACCACCGCCGCCACCGCCGCCGCCGTACAACTTAATATTGGAACACATTGCACGCGAGCGGGCTTTGCGCATTGCGGCGAGGTCAAAGATGGAAACTGCGATGGAGGAGGCAAGGAAAAGAGCCCGGCGAATCTACAAGCGGTACGTTCCGGAGTCCATTGAAGTTGTTAGCGGGGAGGGAATGCTTTTTTCTACCGCCCGTGACAAAACGGAGCAAAATGAGGGAAGAATAATTTTTGGCCCCGGCCTGATGTAAATTAGGGTGGAAAAAGTAAACGAAAAGCAAAAGGTGTGGGCGAAAAAGGGACCCGCGACACGTGAAGGAAAGAAGAGGAAAAGAAAATAACAATAATAACAAAGTACATGCACACACACGAAGAAAAAAAGAAAATGAAAAGGAAAGAAAGAAGAAATCTTCTGTGGCGCCTGCTGCTTTTTTATATTTTGCCATCTGACCGCCCGCAGCTTGTGTGTATGTGTGTGTTTGTATGACGGCGGAATTAAGATGTTCATTGCGGAGTGGATGCGGCTTTTTTCTTCTTTTACACCCCACACATTTGCATTTTTATCACCAACACGAGAAGCAGAACAGAGTTTATATTTTTTCTTTTGCTTTTCGTTTTGTATCTATGTAAGGCGAACCGAAGGAGACGCGCAGTGCCACACAAAAAATGTATCTCAGTATTATGCGCATGCCTTGGGGTGAAGAGGAGGATGTTTGAAGGAAGAAAGGTGAAAGAAAGGGGCAAGTCGGAAGAAGTTGACGCAAAACGTCAAATGTTTGATTAGTTTACCCCTCTTCTTGTGATGTTTGGACAGTTTGTTGGCTTCTGTTTTTCTTTTTTCTTTCTTTGTTAATTACTTCACTTGCCCCTTTTTTCCTCTGGGGAGGATATGTATGAGTGAATCCTGTAATGTGTCACTTTATCCATTTTTAGTTTACTTTTCTTTTTTTTTTATATATCTTGCCCTTTCCAATCACACATTTTGTTCTTGCGTTGTGTGAGTGCGCGTGTGTTCTTCTCGAGAGCTCGCGGTGGAGTCCGCGGCGTGTCGCTGCCCGCAGGACTTTGTTACTTTTCTTTTCCTCTTTTGTTGTGCTGGCAGTTCTCTTTCTTACTTGTCGTCCTGTGGCCGTGGAGGCAAGTTGGTCTCTAAATAGGAAGGGAAAACAGGGCGGTTGCGGGAGAAAGGAAGGAAGGAGAGAAGCGCATTAAAGTGACTGGAGAGACGCACGAAGGGACACGCAAACGGGCTGAAGGGAAGTTCGATTAGAGGAAAAACGCCCCTCACACAAACAGGGACGTGTGCACGCGTGCGAGCCCACCCAGCCGTAGACATCGTGGGCAAAGTTGTTAGCAGGAGGAGCGTGTCGGCAGGCGGAAGGGAGAAGAAGAGGACCGGTGGGAACTCGTTTGGCCACTTCTCCGCCGTACGTACATTCCCCCATCTTTTGTGTTAATTTCCCCCGTACAGAGAAAAAGTAAAGAAAAAAAGTTTTATTATTTTTTTTAAGGAAAACCCCACTGTGCCACGTACTTGACGAC